AACAAAAACTTACAACCCAAAATTTCACAATGTTAAAAACTATTAAAACAGCAATAAAAAAATAATAATAATTCTCCTGTCTCCTTGACTTAGTGTTTTTTGAAGCACACCATGGTCATTAACACATAACTGTAGGAAAAGGTTTTTTTCTTGTCTTTTTCTCTTGAATTCTCACACAGACGTTTTAATAAGTCTAATAGCTACTTTAAAAAATATTTTAACTTTTAGGCATTATGCCAGACAACAATCCTGAAAGGTGGTTATCATTTTCTCTTTTACACATGACTAAAACAAGGCTCCCAGAGCTGAAATAACACTCCATGGCCTCACAATTAGTGAAAAGGTTGTGATAAAGACCATCCCACCTGGTTTCTAAAGCCAATATGTACTCTTTCCACCATGGCATATTTCTTCAATAAGTTCATGGGATTCTTCTGTGGCTAAATCATCTGAAAGTGATTAGGAAAATATCTAGACCAGGCATTTCCAAAGTAATTTTTGCAGCCTCAACATTGTGGTGACCATAGCACCAATAATGGTTGGATTGTGTATTTAGGAGATAAGAGAGAGGAAGGAATAAGTGGAACTAGATTGTAAACTCAGAGGGTAGAGACTTTATCTCACCACTGCACACCCAGTGCCTAGCACATAATAGACACTTGAATATTGAGTGACTAGATGAACAGATGGATGGACATCTGTGTGAACTAGAGAAAGAAAATTCGGATAAAGCATATATTTGCTGCAAATTAATTTATTATTTCAGCACATATGAACAGTGGCTAGACATTATTGTAGTGACGGTTATGTTGATAAAGAGGTCTCCTGGTGTCCTAAGGTTGGGCCCAAGAAAAGCATATTACAAATCTGAAGTTGGCATAGTAAATACATATTATCTAAGCAAAGAAAGACCCCTATAGCAATACACCTATGTGAGGGTCATCTAGGCTTGTGTTCTCCATGGGGTAATATGGCCCCCAATGGGGGGAGCAAAACAATTTTAGATATAATGTTAAATCTCAGTTTGTGGTGCTCTAAAGCTTAACTTTACCAAAAAACAAAAACAAAAACACCTATTTATCAATATTTAATTTCATGAAGAAGGCATGAGGGGATTAGGAAAAAAAACTCTAGAAAGGCTGGAAATCTATCCATCTCAACTCATCTTGAGACTGACCAACTAGACTAAAGTCACAGTGAACATTATCTTAAAATTTAGGAGAGTTGTTTTGGGGTTTCTTTAATGAGAAAGTTGTGTTCCTAGTTGGCAGAACGCGCTGTCCCTGGACTCTTGGTTCAAGACACACATGCAATTTATCTTAGTTAACTGAGTAATGAATTGAATTCAGTTCCAGCTTCAGCCAGTTCTGCCAAGTATTATTTGAAGTTAGTTTATAATAGTTCCTTCTATAGATTAGATGAAGTTTTTTTTAGTTCTCTAGTTGATTGACTTTTTTTCCCTTGAATTTCAATTTCTTTGTTTTGCTCTAAGTACAGCACTTGTATGTTTTTCTCAAAATTTGTTGAACTGGAGAGAAAGATTACTGGCATTCTTTTGTAGTGAAAGGAGGTTATTTCCAATTAACAGTTCAGAAAATGTTATTGTCTTAATGATGGCATTATCATGTTCCTTTTTTCATGACTTTTTTTCTTATTTCATGAATTCAAAATATACTTATATTCACGTAGTAACATTCCATAGAACAGTGTTCCCTCCTGTGGATCAAGGGCTACACTGAAATTAGTTTTAAGTTTTTAAAAGGACTTTTTAAGAAAAAATTCCCAAAAGTGTTATATTTTAAGTGCTACATTTGAAAAGTATATTACTCAGAATTCTCTAGTTTGATTAAATTCTTGACAGGTATTCCTACTACAATTTATATATCTGATACAAATGTACAATATAAATCAAAGTGTATTTTTTCTAACAGATCAATAATTTTGGTACATCAGCATGATTTCTGTTTGGATAATCCACAACTGTATTCCATTAATCAATCATATTCATTTTTCAGTTGTGACTAGTTTTATTTCCTTCTAGTTAGAAAAATTTAAAATTTCTAAATCTGCAAATAAATCTTTTTAATGTAAAAAAATATTTTAAAAATATTACAGCAGTCCTGTTTTCAGGTAAATTGTTTGTAGAAAAGATGATAAAAGTAAATTCACACAAACATTCTTCAACATAAAAGTTTCAGACATTTTGAAAGGGTAGAACCAATAAAAATATCAACAGCTCTGCTCAAATATATCCATTCCACTTAATTAAAAGTGAAAGAATAATTCAAATTTACTGTCTCTAAAGTATTACTAGGCCATCATAAAAATATTTAAGAAATATATAGTTTTTTCTTCAAAGCTCTGAAAAAAATGCTTTTTTTCCCCCCAGAAACTGTTTCTAAGAAATCTGAAAGCCAGGAAAAGGTAGAATGTGGTTTATATCTGTTTATGACAAACAATTGAAGAAGCCAAGTTACAGAATCTAAAGTTTGTTTTTTGTTTTTTAATAATGAAACTAGGACTAGAAATGTTCCTTAAGTCACTATTTACACAAACACAAAATCATTTCTATATAGTCATGAGCCACATAAGGACATTTCAGTTAACGATGGACTGCATAAATGACAGTGGTCCCACAAAGGTAGTGCCAGATAGCCTAGGTGTGTAGTAGGCTACACCATCTAGGTTT